AATCATCGGTCCATGAATATCTGCAGCTCTCCTGCAGCCTCCTCATCAAGGTTGTCATAGTATTTTCTGAGTGAGGAACCTCTGACCCTCCACGTTCAGCCTGGAGCGAGGATGACGATGAGGATGAAGATGATGATGAAGATGAAGATGAGTGTGTCAGAGAGTCAGTTACTGTTCGTTAGAGGGTTTTCAAGGTCACACTGTGAGACATAAATCCTCGCTCTTCCCTCTCCTCGCTCTCGTCTGCTCTGCACAAACAATGCTGCAGAAAACAAAGCCCGGCCTCTGACATGAATCACAGATGATCATGTGACAGGGAATCTTTTCTCTGAAGGCTTTTCTCTTCTTTCTTTCTTTCTTTTACTACACAGTACAAACATCGATGTATGGTATTTAGTATTTGGAAAATGTATAAAGAAATATCGTGGTTATCATTTTGAGCTGAGCAGAAGTGAGAAATGTAAGGGTTAAAATTATAGATAGAAATGAAAAAGTGCTAAACAAATGTTTCTACTTTTAATTATTTCGTCAACCACCTCCTGATGGCTGTTGTTAACCGTGTCAGTTTGGTTTGTTATCTCCAGCAGGTGGCTCCATGGTAAAAAATATATGAATCCATCTGGAGCCCACGTTCCGCTCCTGCCGCGACGGACGGATTTTTATTTGGATAATATACTTTAGAAACTTTATACGCAGACAAAGAAACGTAATTTTCACTCCAAGCCCAGACTAATCAGTGGTTGTTCTTTAATTGCATCTCTTCTTTCCATTAGTGAACAGGCAGTCATCCAATCAGAACACACTCAGCTCATTAGGCGCCGCAGCTCTTGACCCACTCTCTTTTCTTAGAACCACAGTCTGTGTTTGGTTTTCAGACGGAGAATCTTCATCCTTATATTTGAGGACGGAAACGTCAGATTGGACACATCTCAACTGGTCCAAGACCAGAAAGATCTGGCCCATATTTTTGACCTAACTCATGTGGGTAGAAACAGTATCGTTGCCCCGGTGTAATGATACAGAGTCCTTTTATACAGTGTACAATGTTTGGTCTGACAAATACATCAGAGCTTGTTACGTGTTGACATCGTGGATGACACTGACTCCACCCAGCAGACGAGACAGGAAGGGGAAACACAGCTAAAAGAACCAACACTTTGGTTTAGGATTCACGGCCCACATCCTGGTTCTTATGATCTGGGCCGGTCACCATGTGTTGATGCAGAGTTCTACATTTTTCAGTGTAAATTCTTCATTTTCTTTTCTAATGAGAGCAGTGGTGAACAGTTCACAAAGCTGCCTGTAGAAGCAGCCTATTTGTCCACTGATGGATTATTAATGAGCTGCAGAGATGTTCCCTGCTTGTCTGAGCACGGACCTCTGTAAACACAAACCCTTCTACATAACAAGCAGCTGCTCGGCCCGTAAAGGGTTACTCGACTATCGATCCAGCGGGCCGTTTCTCCGCGTGATGCCCGTTTCCTTGACGGCTTTTTAATGACAGGTCAGTGAATCATTTGGCCGGTGGGGCTAATTGTGGTGGAGCACGAGATTACAGCGTCCTGAGGACAAGGTTGGGAGAGATTAGTTTGTAGGGGCATTTCTGTGATGTGTACCAATCAGGGGGAA